TCAAAGAGCTGCTTTGTTCCTTTGTCTGCAGAGGGATGGCAGGGCTGCCTGACCCTGCCCTCCCCTCCCCGGGCTCCCTCTGCCCCTCCCCAGGGATGCTGGAGCAGCAGGGAAAGGAGGGAATGGGGAAGGGATGCTCTGCTCTGCCCTATATTCCTGCTCAGGCCTTCCCAGCCCGTCTGTTTGCTGCTCAAACTCCTGTTGCCAAAGAGTTTTCCACCTTCCAACCCGGGATTTTGGGGCACATTCTCCCCCTCAAGCACTTAAACAAGTCAAACATTGCAATGAGCCTTAAAACCCCAGAAAATTCCTCAGTTGCTCCTCATTCCATGAGGTTGGTGCCGATGGGGAACGTCCTGGCTGGGGATGTGATGGATTTTACTGCCTCCCTCCAAGGGCTTTGTAATATTCTCATTTTTCCTGCGAGTTCTGCTCGGCCCAAAGCGAGGGAGGAGTTTTGTAACGAGAGGAAAAAGCCGAGTCCAAGAATAATGCAGAGCTTGAAGGAACCTTGGAAACGGTGGCTGATCCTGGAGATGGATGGAAATGACTCCGAGAAATCAATAATCCTTTTTTTTTTTTAATGCCTCTGAGTCACTGGGAGTGAGGGGATGGAGGAACAAAAACGCCCCATTAACGTCAGCAGAATGCAGGGAATGACTCAAAAAGTGAGATTCATAAAAATTGGATGTTGTGGGAGTGCAAATGGCTCGGGATGTGCTTCCAGAAGTGCTGGATGGGGCAGGCAGAACAGGGATGGGAGCTGGGATTTGCTTCCAAGCCAGGACTCCAGGGGTGTCTGTGGTTTCATGGAAGCACAGCACCCAGGATTGAATTTAGCAGGACTTTTTTGTCTTTCAGAATCTTCCATCTTCCCAAATTTCCTCCTGGTGGTGGGTGGGGGCTCAAAGAATCCCTGAATTCCACCCACCGGTTTCTTTTATCCATTTCTCTCTTCCAGAACAGTATAAAGGATGTTCAGGGAGGGGAAATAACTTGCAATGAAAACAAGAGGTTCTGACCCAGCAAAATTCAGATCAAATAATTCATAAGTGAGGAGAAAAAGGCAAAGAAATCTGGGAAAAACATCCCAGGAGCTGGAAGTGCTGCTCAGCTGCTGCTCAGGGTTTAAATTCCAGGGGAAGGCAGGAAATGCAACGTTTCTGTTGAAGTTTTGGGGGTGTTCAAGATTTTTCTGTGCCCTTGGCCGTGTCATTGTCACCACAGTGGGTCATGGCCACCTCTCCCACCCTGCTGGGGCAGGAGGAGGTTTGGGCTCCACATCCAAAGGTCCCCTTGGAGGAAGCACCAGGCAGTGGGGCCAGTGTGGGATCACAACTGGTCGCTGTTTCCAGCCTTTCCTCTCCTTCTTTGTCTCATTCCTTTGGGGAAGGGGCTCTTTTCCTTCCTGGCTGGGAAACGTCGGCACCACCTGCGCCCTGCTCGGAGCCAGGCGGGAATGTGGAGCTGTGTCCTGACAGTGCCCAAAGATCCCACAGCCCCCCTCCTCTCCAGCCCCTCCTTGCCTTCAAAAGCCTTCCCTGGCTGGGCCAGGAAATAGGATGTTTGTCCAGCCCGGAATTCCAGCGCACCCACTCCGAGCCAGGAAACCCCAGGGAGCGAGGGATGTGGAGAACAGCATGTGGAGGGAGAATAAATAAGGGAATAACAAACCATGTCCCTTTTGAAACTGTCCCCTGGATGGCAGAGGATTCAGGATGAGAGATTTCATCCTCCTGGATAGAAAATTGGGCTGATTTTCAATAATTTTCCATCATAAATCATGGAATCCTGGAATGGTTTGGGTTGGGAGGGACCTTAAAGCTCTTCTTGTTCAACCTCCTGCCGCAGGCAGGGACACCTCCCACTCTCCCAGCATTCTCCAAGCCCTCTCCAACCTGGTCTTGAACATTCCAGGGATGGAGCAGCATTTCTGGGCATCCTGCACCAGCACAAGGTGGTGTTGCCTGTGAATCCATGGATTTTGCTGGGAAGAATTCCCACGTGCAACCCATCAACAGCCAGGTTTGCGGCACGAGGTTGGAGCATCATCCTTGGCACGTTGGATTTTTGTTGGCTTTCTTCTTCCTGGCAGCCCTGAGGTCACCTGGTGGCCTTTCCACATCCTTTGGGAGCAGCTGTATGATGGGAAAACCTTTCCATGTCAGAGCCATGGGCTCCTGCTGCTTCCCCCATCCCCTGGATCCTTGGAAGCACCATGAGATGTGTCTGTCTGCTCTATTTGGAGAGAAGGTTTTGGTGGATACAGAGGAGAAAAATGAGTGGAATAGAGAATAAAATTAAAGGAAAAATAAAGCTGGAATCTGCTTGGGAACTCGAAGTTTTCATCCATCCAGAACGGAAGCATCACCCATGGAAATACCCAAACAGGATATTGCAGTGGGAAAACGGGGATTTGCTTCCCAGCCAGAATATCCTTCGAGGTTTTTATTTGTAGGAAATGCCTCCTGTGGCCCAGGGGGCTCCAGAGGGAGAGGGATTTGGGCAGCCCAGGGTGGACAGATCCCGGCAGCACCTGGAGGTGTGAACAGGAGGGATGGGTCCCAACAAGCTCTGCCAGGGCCCTCTGCCAAAGGAGCAGCCACTGGGATGATGTTTGGGAAGTGGATTTTCCTGCCTGCTCCCACACCAAGGACATTGTTTCAGCCACGGGGCAAAACCCCAGCGGGAGCAGAACCAGGAGAAGGGGAAAAGGATGCCAAGATTTTTAGTGGTCAACCCCAAATCCCCCTCAGTCAAAACTGTGCCATGGACACCAAACTGTGCCATGGACACCAAACTGTCCCCTCAGCACCAAACTCCCCCTGAGCTCCTTTTCCCTCCATCCCAAGGCTCCCACAGCCACTGGGACCCCGCGCTCCTCCCATGCTCCGGCTTCTCCCACGCGGAGCAGGAACTATTCCTGGCACAGAAAAGCCTCTGCTGGCTCCAAACCCTTGGAATGTGCCGGAAAAGGCCCATCCGGGAGCCACCCACAATACAGTCCAGCCCTGGGCAGCTGGAGCCCCTCGCCAGGGATTTTGCCAGGGATTTTGCCAGGGATTTTGCCAGCGCTTCCAGGCTCGCTCCGTGATGGGATGGCGTTTGCAGGAAATCCTGGCTGGGGTTAAAGGGAAGAAACTCTGGATTTCTCCAGCAAAACAGGCACTTGAGCTCAGTGTTTCCTCCTGGCATGGAGACTTTCCCAGTTTTCGGGAGAGCTGGAAAAAAAGAGGGATGTGAAAGCGCCAGAGTCCTGGAGCTGCATCACCTTTGTGTTTGGGAATCATGGAAAGCAGGGAGCATCCATGGCTCACACACAAGGATCTGTGTGAAGGATAAAAACATGTCCTGGAGCTGGTTTGTGCTGGTGCTTTGTTTGGCAGCTTCTTGGAAGCTGAATTTTGTGGATGCAAAAAATATCTGGAGCCCCTTTTTTGGCCACCCCCTCATGGCAGAGGGGGTTTCCATGGAGGTACCTGGGGGATATTCTGTGAAGCACCTGGAAAGTCTGGGGGGAAAAGATTGAGCAAATGGGCCTTTTGGTGGAATTTTAGGCTGGTTTTGCCAAGGGTTGGAAGCAGAGGTGGGAGAAATAAGAGTAAAGTTAAAATCCTGGGATCGTGGAGAAAATCAAGAACTTCAAACATACAAAAACACGTTTTTGTGCTTTTTGGAATGTTATAAAAAACTCAATTTCAATTTGAAAACTCATCAGTCAGAGGAAAGTGTCAGGTTTAGTGAAGCTCTTGCCTGTCCCCAGGCCATGGCTGGGGGACTTTCCTGGCCCTGCCTGGCTCCGACTGCTGGGATCAGTTTGGAAAAGATTCCCAGCGCTTGCTTGGACCTCAGGCTGCATTTTTTCAGAGCAAAAAGTTCTCCAGCCAAAACCAGTCTCTCTGCTCTCATTTTGGGTTAAATCCTCAAGGATTTCGAGGCTGGGTTGGACAGGGCTCGGAGCAGCCTGGGCTGGTAGAAGGTGTTGGAATGGGATGAGTTTTGAGGTCTCTCCCAACCCAGACCCTGAGACCCTCTGCTGCTCCTCACTCTCCCTTTTGCCCCACAGCCAGGAGGTCCCTGCTCCACCAGGGTCAGCAATTGTGTCCTTGGGATCTCTGCTTTGACAGGATCAGCTCGTGGCTTCTTGGGATTCTTGGTCCATCGGGATCATCTGGTGGATCCTTGGGATCCCTCATCTACCAGGATTAGCTGGTGTGTCCTTAGGATCCCTGGTTTGACAGGATGATCTGGTTGATTCTTGGAATCTCTTGATCCACCTGGATCAGCTGGTTGGTCCTTGGGATCCCTGATCCACCCGGATCAGCTGGTTGGTCCTTGAGATCCCTGATCCACCTGGATCAGCTGGTTGGTCCTTGGGATCCCTGATCCACCGGGATCAGCTGGTGGCTTCTTGGGATTCTTGGTCCATCAGGATCAGCTGGTAGATCTTTGGGATTCCTGGTCCACTGGGATCAGCTGGTGTGTCCTTAGGATTCCTGCTCTGCCAGGATCAGCCGATGGGCTCTTGGGATCCCTGGTGGATGCTGTGGTTTTCCAGGTCAGCCCCCCTGTTCCAAACAAGCTGAGGCAGCTGAACGTGGCACATCCCGGCTCTCTGACGCTCCCTCCTGCCTGAGTGCTCCCATCCTGCCCCCATTCCCGCTCCCACGTGGTCCAGGCCAATCCATTTCCGAGCCATCACCTTAGGAGCCGTAATTCCTTTGTCATGTGCACACGGAGCGGCAGCGCTGTGTCCCAGCCGGGCAGAGCCCGCTCCGGAGGAGAGCAGCTGGAATTCTGCAGCAGCACAGAGGCTTCCAACGCCTTTTGTGAGCCCTCCCTGGCACCGGGGGGACATTTGAGGTTTTCCAGGGGTGCCACCTCGGCCAAACCTCGCCAGGTAACCCCCTACAGCAGCACGGCTCGGGAGCGGGAAAACAAGTGGGAACCGAGCCGGGAGAGGGAACTTTGGGAATGCTGATCCTGCTGTGTTTTCCCAGATGTCATGGCGCCCGCAGTACCGCAGCTCCAAGTTCCGGAACGTGTACGGGAAGGTGGCGAGCCGGGAGCACTGCTTCGACGGCGTGCCCATCACCAAGAATGTGCACGACAACCACTTCTGTGCCGTCAATGCCCGGTTCCTCGCCATCGTCACCGAGAGCGCCGGCGGCGGCTCCTTCCTTGTCATCCCCCTCGAGCAGGTCAGCACGGGCCCTGTGGGGCACTCCCACCTGGAGCTCCTCCATCTCCATCCCTATCTCCATCCCCATCTCCATCCCCATCTCCATCTCCATCCCCATCTCCATCTCCATTTCCATCCCCATCTCTATCCCCATCCCCGTTCCCATTTCCCTCTCCCTCTCCTTCTCCATCCCTATCCCTATCTCTATCTCCATCCCCATCTCCATCCCCATCTCCATCTCCATTCCTATCCCCATCCCCATGACCATCCCCATCTCCATCCCAATCCCCATCCATCTCCATCCCCATCTCCATCCGCATCCCCATCTCCATCCGCATCCCCATCTCCATTCCCATCACCACATCCCCATCTCCATGTCCATTCCCATCTCCATCTCCATCTCCATCTCCGTCTCCATCTCCATCTCCGTCTCCATCTCCATCCCCTTCTCCATCCCTCCTCAAAGTCTCTGCTGGTCTCTCCTGAGGTTTTCCTGGGTGGGATGGGAGGATTTCCATCTGCCTCAGTGAATTGGGGGTTTTCTTTAGGAAGAGAGGAGACACCTGTTAAAGTGCTTTTGGCATCTCTCAGGGAGTTTGGCACTGGCAATGTCTCCACCCTGTCCCGTGGCAATGCCAGGTGCCACCTGGGTTTGTGATCCTGGTGTTTCACCCACACAGCTCCCAGAAAGTCCCTGTGGAGCCCCTCACCCTGCAGAGCAGGTCCTTGTCCTTTGTTGGAACTTCTCCATCCCAGAATCCCAGAATCTACCAAGTTGGGAGGGACCCACAAGGATCATTGAGCCCAAATTACCCGAGGGAATGGCTGGAGCTGTGCCAGGACAAGCTTAGGTTGGATATTAGGAAAAGTTTCTTCATCCAGAGGGTGGTCAGACACTGGAACGGGCTCCTTAAAGCAGCACTTCCCCCTCCCCCCCTAATCCTGCCTCCAGCACATCCTTCTGCTCCTTGTGTTGTGCTTTTCCTTCTCCAGCCAAGACTCCCCCCAGCCCTTCCCGTGATCCCACGGGATCCACACTTCTCTTCCTCGTGCAATTTTCCACTCCCATAAATCCAGCTGATGCTCCAGCGGGACGCGCTCGGTGTTCCTGCCCCAGAGCTCATCCCTGAGGCTCCAGGAGGGAAAGGGACCTTGAACATGGAATTAGTGTTACCTTGGATAGAAGGGATGGCTTTGAACCGAAAGAGAGTTTATTAAATCAGATAAAAGGGAGATTTTTCCCTGGAAGGGTGGGGAGGCCCTGGAAAGGATTTCCCAGAGAAGCTGTGGCTGCTCCATCCCTGGAAGTGTCCAGGGCCAGGCTGGAGCAACCTGGGATAGTGGGAAGGTGCTCATGACAGGGGATTGGAACTGAACAATCTTTAAGGTCATTCCAACCCAAACCATTCCAGGATTCTTTGACCCTTTGCACTGCCCTGGGGTTACCAAGGTGGCTCTAACGCTGTTGCTTCCCGATGGTGCTCCAGCCTGTGGACCTGCAGCTCCAAGCTGGACCCCACATCCCATCCCTGGGCTCCTGGGCTGCAGGAGGGCCATGGATGCTCCCAGACATTCCTCCTCAGGAGCATTTTTGGACGGATGAGCTGCACTCCCTCCCCTTAGAGATGCACCTTCCCCACATCCCTTGGACACAGCACACGTGGGAGCAGCTGGGTGTCCCTCAGGCTCCTGGACAGCACAATCCAGTGCCAAATCCACAGGAATGCCAGCTGGGAGGGGAAGCTGGCAGAGCCAGAGGGGTGGAGGAGCACATCCCTCCCAGCCCCTCCACACCCTGTCATTCCTCTCAGACACTTTCCCCGCATAACATTCCCACCTCTCCTGAATTCCTCTTTAATTTCTGGAGTCGACTCAGCTACAGATGGAAGAAATTATAATCAGGGCTTTAATTGCTCAGCACAGCTTGAGGCTCATTAATATTCGGGGAAGCAGGAGCTTTGTGTGAGCCCCCGGAGCGCTCCCGCCCCATCCCTGCTCCCCCAGCCCCAGCTGGGGGGATACCCATCCTCACTCCACTTGCTCCCGATCCTAAATCCTCAGGAACAACCCAATATTGTCAGCAAATTACCCTTTTTTTCCTGGCAAATGTGGGATAAAAGCAGAGGTGCCGTTTGCAACCTGTTCCGAAGGGAAATCCTGGCAAAATCCATCCGCCAAATCCCGGCTGGAGCGGACCTGGGCTCTCCGTGTCGAGTGGCAGCACGAGCCTTTGTAGCAGCTAATAATTTCATTATTTTTTTTAAATAGGGGCTGATTAGCTCATTAAGAATAAACTAATTTTCCTTGGAAATCAGCGGCCCTCTAATTAATTGGCAGCCAGATTTAGCCGAGCATAATGAAGGTAACCCAGATACCGCCGAGCCACTCGGGCTCGGGTTTGCTGCCACACTTTTGGATTCTTTTCCTGCTTTTTGCCCTCTGTTGTGCTCAGCAGAGCTCCCCAGAATCTGTGACACTGCATCCCATATGTCCCTCCCTGTGCAGCAGAAATCCTGGTTCCTCAGGGATCTGTGGAGCCAAGAAGGGGATGTGTGGGTTGGGAAGACGGAGCTCGGCTGTGTTTTGTTCCTCCATCCTCTCCAAGCCTGTCCTCCCACCCTGCGCTGCCTGGATCCCAAATCCTGGCTCCTCAGCCCCTGGGAAGCGGCGTCTCCCCGGCACCACGAGGGGTTGGTGCCAGAAATATCCGCGGGGAGTGGGCGAAGGAGAGCGCGGAGGCTCCGGCTGAGCCTCGGGAAGGGGAGGATTTGCTCCCCAAACCATGGCAACAGAATTGTGGAGTCCTGGAATGGTTTGGGTTGGAAGGGACCTTGAAGCTCATCTCATTCCACCCCCTGCCGTGGACAGGGACACCTTCAACTATCCCAGGTTGCTCCAAGCCGGCCTTGAGGATTCAGTCCAAGGAGAGGAGAGGAGGCCATGTGGAAAACGTCCATTTATTCTGCTCCGCAAGAATGGCTCGAGCCCCATCACCATGAACAAAATCCAGCCTTGCTTGGATGGTGCTATTCCTCAGGAAAGAAACTCAGGGACATCAATCCCTGCTTGTGTCCTTACAGACCATCCTTCCGGAGCTGGAGCCCCTCTGGAGCCAGGCTGGGAGAGCTGGAGGGGTTCAACTGGAGGAGAGAAGGATCCAGGGAGAGCTGAGAGTCCCTTCCAGGGCCTAAAGGGGTTCCAGGAGAGCTGGAGAGGGACTGGGACAAGGGGGTTGTGACACCCCTTGCTGGGGTGGCCATGGGGTCCCTCACGTTCCCTTTGCAGGGGAGGGTGGTGGCATCACTTCCACCGTGCCAGAGGGATCCCTGTTCCCACAGGGGACAAAGATAACTTGTTTTCCAGAGGTAGACAATGTTATCTGCCCGGAGGAAGCAGGAGCAGGAAGGGGGAGTCTCTGTTTACACGGAGGAAGCTGAAATCCAAACCTGTTGTGGCCGGGGCTGCTCTGGGGGTGGGGCAGGAGAGGGACTGGATGGGGCACAGATCCCTCATCCCACTGTGTCCAAGGCTGCTTTGCTCCTGCTGATGGATGGATGTGCCCGTGGAGTGTGAGCAGGGGGGTCCTGGGGGCTCAGGTGTCCCTCTGCCTGGGTAAGTTTAGGTTGTTCCTTCCCCAGAAGGGTTGTCCGGCACTGGAACAGGCTGTGCTGAGTCCCCATCCCTGAGGGATTTAAAATCCGTATGGATGTGGCACTTGGGGATGTGGGTGGCCTTGGCCATCGTTTGGTCTGGATGGTCTTCAAGGTTTTTTCCAACCTAAAGGATTCTGTGGGACACTGATGTCCATCACTGCTGGGGGGACCTGCACAAGCCCATGGAGGTGATAGATCCATCCCTAATCCCCGTGGAATTCCCAAACCTCCACGGCAGCCCAGGGGGGACAGGGACAGCAGGTCAGAGAGTCACAGGATCACTGAGTTTGGGAAAGGCCTCCAAGATCATCAAGTCCAACCTCGGGCTGATCCCCATCTTGTCACCCTTCCCAGAGCATCCAGAACTCCTCGTTCCAGAGCAGGCAGGTCTCACTCCCACCTGGATCCCAGAGATCCAAAAGAACGGGGGGAAACAACTTCTTACAATAATTCCAGGGTTTTAGGGGCACCTGAGAAGGTGCAGAAGGTCCCTGGAATGGAGCTGGAGGAGGATAAAAGCAGAGAGGGAGGAGGAAGGAGCAAGTGTCCCTCAGGGAAACACTGTGGTTGTGGCGGGAAGGGAGATGCAGGTTGGAATCCTGGAATCATGGAAGGCTTTGGGTCGTGCTGCAGGGAACACTCCCGGATCTCACCCATCCCCTCACCCCCCAGCACAGGGAGGGGACATTCCCAGTGTCCCAGGGAGCAGTGCCAGCATCCCTGGGATCAGGGACACTCTCTGGGTGCCCTGGGATGGGACATTCACGGTGTCCCAGGGAGCAGTTCCAGCATCCCTGGGATCAGGGACACCCTCTGGATGCCCTGGGATGGCAGCTGGCAAGCGGGAACACCGGGAATGCTGCCCTGGCTCCTTGTCCTGGCTCCAGCTCCCAGTGGCATCTGCTCCGTTTCTGATCCCAAGGGACCCCCCTGTGATCCCCCCCCTTGCCAGGGCTGGGCAGAGAACGGGCAAACTCATCACACCCCCACTCCCCTCCCTTCCCAGAGCTGCTGTTCCGAAGCACCAGGAGTTTTCTGCAGGAAAAAAAAAATCCAGAATCCTCTTGGTTCCTCTGTCCCCTGAACCAGTTCTCACGTCCTTGGAGCTTTCCTACCTTCACACTCGGGACACAGGAGACTCCCCCACTTGGAACTCATTTGCTCTGATTTTTTCTCAACCTGATTTGAGGCTGCAGGAGACTTTGTTTTTTTAACCTAGAGCTGGTCAGGGGAAAAAAAGAACAGACCTGAGGCTTAAAAAATAAAAAAAAGCTGATCCTTCAGCATTGCTGTTCCCACCTGGTGTCCCTGATTTTACCAAGGAGAGCAGCTGTGGGAAGCCCAGCCCTGGGATCTGAATGGTTTT